GTCATCGCTCGGGGCAGGAAAAGCAGGATCCGAAACTACGGGTCGCCGGTGCGCGCGACTTTATCGATTGCGAGCCGCCCTCAGCCTCTGCCAATGTGGGTAGGCGAGATCTATTCGGGAATCAGGGCAAAGACAGGTCCCCGTGCTGCAACGTCGATGTTGCTATATGCGTTATGACGAGCGGGCGGTCCACCACGCTGTGGAACATGGAAAAATTCATCATTACCGGTACGAGCGGAAGCGGCACAGGTTTCCTCTGTCAGTCTCCATGCATGTTGGGGCCGCCGTCGCCGTTTCGTGCTTTTTGCAGCGGGTCGGCCTGGCATATCCACAGCCCTCGTATTTTTCATCAGGTATTTCCCTAGCGCTCGCGACTCAACGAGATGCGGGAGGAGAGGGTGCAGCGACTCGGCGTAGCGTCGGATAGGGCATGGGAATAGGGATACGGCGACATGGCTTTCTTTTACGACAGCTACCAGCCATAGCACAGTGTGACAGACAGCCTCTACCGCGAGGCTCTGGGGCCGCCGCTGGGGATTACGAGACGGCATGAGGCGCGTGGTGCCATAATTGGTCGGAGATGGCTTTAGAACAGCGAGCGATGCCGACCCCTGAACGCCCGGAATCCACGCGAAGCTGGAGGATCTCTTGGCAATAGAAGGCGACCAGCAGCGGTGCATTGCAGGCGAATTTCCAAGAGCGACGATGCCACCTCATGCGACGATGGACACGACCGGCGGAATGAGGTAGAAGCTACCATGACTACAAAATTACTACACCACTGCATGCCCAGCGTGTAGACCACGGCTCTCGAGGGCCCCAAACACACGGCCCCAAACAGGTAGGATGTGCCTCTGTGTGTGATGAGGATGCGAAACAGAGAGGAACACTTTGCCTGCAAGCTTCAGACAGCTAACGGTAGACGGCGCATGGGGGCGCCCAAAATAACTGCGAGGCTGCAGGCATAGGGCCGCCGGCGCGTGGTTTGGCACGGGTCGGGGCCACTGAGACCAGGCGTAGGCCTGCACGCAACTCGTTTTCGAGCTCCAAGCGCGGGCAGCTTGCCAAATCTAGTTGGAGTGCCCCTGTGACGATCGTGCATCTCGACTGCTGCCCAGAGGATCCAGCACTCTTCGGGTGAAGGCTATGTGGACCGAGCGCGCCCGCTTTTCGTGCTTGTAAACCAGCTCGATCCCCTCGTAGAGACTTCCTTCCTCCTCAAGGCGCTCCTCCCATACGACTCCGGACTGCCCTTGCGAGCGGTATCTTGTTAATGACCTTGGTCTAAGCCCTTCTTGTCCTTCCCACCCTTACACTCGTTTATTGGGCCGCGAAGACTTACCATCCGCTTACACCACTACAACTACTACCGCCAAACACCAATACCTGTATCCTAGTAGTTTTCTCAGCTCTGCGACAGTCCTGGATCAGCAATTCGCCTCTACGTCAATTGTCTAGCCCCGTGCCACTGTTGGGTTACGAGCCTTTGTTACTCAGGGCCCCTCCCATACCTCAGCGACGGGCCGTGCTTCTCCAACTCACCGCGTCTGCGTCACCAATTTGGTCGCCTTACATATAGGGTCGACGGCTGTCCGAAACCCAGACAGCATCGCTCGCTATCCGCTTAACGACAACAACGAATATACATACTTAATACTCCGCCATGGTTTGGCAAGACATGATGGGCCTCGCCGCCCGCGCGGTCTTTGCCCGCGAAATCGACCACTCTACCCCAGACATTGACGACCCTTGGCCAGCTAAGGATGTAAGTACAGCGATTGCCGACTTTGGCTACAGAAACTGACTGCAGTAGATTGCCTACGTTGCCATCATCGGTGGTCTCATGTTGGCTGCCCTGCTTGAGTGGTTCCTCTGGGTCGCTGCTTTCCTGTACTGCATTGTCAAGGTCTTCCAGAAGGCTGAGACGATCAGTGTCCGCATTCTGTCCATCTTCTTCGGTATCCTCTTCTTCGCTCTCCGGTAAGCATTTGAACTCCGCTCCAACATGCGACCCAACTCTAACAGAAACAGTGCCATCTTCTTGCCTATCATGGTCGTAACCCTCCCCCTCCCGTCGCAAGTTACCAAGTACTTCCCCCAGGAGATGGTTGGCTTCCTCCAGTGGTTCGCCTTCTGGTCGTTTGCCGGTCTCTTGACCGTCCCGTGGTTGTTCTGTGTCTACCAGCTCGTCACCCACTCCGTTGGCCGCAGCCGCAGGATTAAATCCGTCCTCGACGAGGCATCCGCCCCCAAGGTCGTCATCATCATGCCCTGCTACAAGGAGATTCCCGAGATTCTTCTCCGAACTTGCGACTCCCTGGTCGACTGCGAATACCCGCCCTCCTGCCTGCACATCTTCCTCTCCTTTGACGGAGACCAGGAGGACGAGCTCTACCTCAACACCATTGAGAAACTCGGTGTCCCGCTCACGCTCGACACCTACCCCAAGTCCATCGATGTCATCTACCGTAGCTGCCGCATTACCATCTCCCGCTTCCCCCACGGTGGTAAGCGTCACTGCCAGAAGAGGACCTTCAAGCTCATCGACAAGATCTACTCCGAGTACCTCAAGCGCAACGATAACCTCTTCGTCCTCTTCATCGACTCCGACTGCATTCTCGACAAGACCTGCATTCAGAACTTCATGTACGAGATGGAACTCAAGCCCGGCAGCAAGAAGAACATGTTGGCTCAGACTGGTGTCATTACCTCCACAACCGAGAAGAACTCGCTCATCACCCTTCTTCAGGACATGGAATACGTTCACGGTCAACTCTTCGAGCGTTCAGTCGAGTCCGGCTGCGGTGCCGTCACTTGCTTGCCCGGTGCCCTTACTATGCTTCGATTCTCCGCTTTCCGCAGGATGGCCAAGTACTACTTCGCTGACAAGGCCGAGCAATGCGACGACCTCTTCGACTACGGCAAGTGCCATCTTGGTGAGGACCGTTGGCTCACTCACTTGTTCATGATTGGCGCCAAGGAACGTTACCAGATCCAGATGAACACCGGAGCATTCTGCAAGACCGAAGCTGTGCAAACCTACCAGTCTCTGCTCAAGCAACGTCGCCGCTGGTTCTTGGGTTTTATCACCAACGAAGTTTGCATGTTGACTGATATCCGTCTTTGGAAGCGCTACCCGATCCTCCTCATCGTCCGCTTCATGCAGAACACCATCCGAACCACCGCCCTTCTCTTCTTCATCCTGTGTATCTCTTTGATCACTACCTCGCAAAAGGTTGCCAACCTTCCCGTTGGTTTCATCGCCATCTCTCTGGGGCTCAACTGGCTTCTCATGTTGTACTTTGGCGCCAAGCTCGGTCGCTACAAGATTATGCTGTACCCCCTCATGTTCATCGTCAACCCCTTCTTCAACTGGGTCTACATGGTTTACGGTATCTTCACTGCCGGTCAGCGTACATGGGGTGGACCTCGTGCCGATGCTGGTAGCGCCGACACCAAGACCACTCCCCAGGAGGCCATCGAGGCCGCCGAGGCTACTGGTGACGATCTGAACGTTGTTCCTGAGACTTTCAAGGCTGCTGCCGAGGCGCAGAAGCACCGCCCAGCCGCTATCCCCCTTCAGCCCGGCGACAACATCGACGGACGCTTTGCCGCCGCAGAACGCCTGCCCAACGGATGGTACCAACAAGGCAACGACTCTGGTCTCACGCTTCCCAACACAATGCCCCGCAACCCCAACGTCCCTCACGTGCCTCTCCACCCCCGTTCTTCCATGGACTCCTTCGCTTCGCAAGAGACCTCCGCCGCCAACTCCATCTACATGCCCCGCCGTGTCGAGAGTTTCATGGACCCCGAGGATGCGCGTATCTACCACAAGACTCAGCAAACACAAAAGCCCGCCGGAGGAGCATTCTACGAAGAGCCACGAGGAGGACCCTACGAGGTCGGCCAGGGTGCTAGCAAGGGCATGTACAGTGAATCTGTTGACTCCATCGACGACGACTCTGTATACCAGTCCAAGGGCCCGCAACGACCCGCTCAGATGCGTACCAACAGCGACCTTGCCCACGCCCCAGCCCGCACATCGCCGCTGTCCAACGAGCAGAAGGGCCATGGTCTCGAGTCGCCCAAGCCGTCCTACAGCAGGACCAACAGCTCAGACCAGCGCCAGGGACGCAGCCCTCTTGCTCAGCAATACGTTCACACCGCACCTGGTGAGGATTACGAGCTACAAGCCCCACAGCAAAGCAGCCTGATGCGTGACGTATCACCTGCGCCGCTAGGCCAACCTACGATGCCCGCGTCCAACCACGGACGCAGCGACTCAAGCGACTCCAAGAAGCGGAAGCGCCTCAGCAAGCAGCCCCGCAAGTAAACGCCTCTTTCCGCATGATCTAGCATCTTGATCTTTCTTCCATCTTCCGCCTAGACGGTGCATCAAACGACATACCAGCATTAACCTTTTCTTTTATCATCAAACTACTTGTGTGCGCATTGGATGTCCCCGGCGTTTTCAGCGAGCAGCACCGCAACAACACCGCGAGTGAACTCTTTTTTCTCTCTCGCGAAAAACTCATTTCCTTACTTGTACATATATTATCACATCATTACATGACGGGCGGGGTGTGTGTGGCTTTTGGATATAAAAACTACGGGATCATGACTTGGTTCGCTTGGGGTATATATGTTGTAGGAGCTATGTGATGGATCATATACACATCACCCTTTTTCTTGCTTAATGTCTAGAAGTAACGTCGTTGTCTGGGACGTTGAATGAAATGGTCTTTACTGCCACAATTGATCTTACTTGCAATGTGATGTTATTGTTGATTTGCAATAGAAGGTTTCGGGTTGATATTGGCTTACACATTTGACCGCTTAGTGAGAAACCAACTATATTGCTGATATCGCGTACAAGGTCAGGATAACCCATGCGTTACTAGTTGAAAGCATACCAGTAATTGACCAATCTTCCCACATCATCCCAATACCATGCATCGCTCGTGTCATCGCATCACCCACTTCCCCACCCCTCCCCCCTACCGATACAACAACCCCTCCACCTCCTCCGCAACCGCCAAACTACTAGTCAACCCAGGACTCTCCATGGCCAACAAATTCACAAACCCCTCATACCCCTCCTCCTTCTGAATCACAAAATCCTGAAAGTCCTTCCCGCTCGTCGCCGCCAACTTCCCCAATTTAGGTCGTATACCCACGTAATCCGGTTGAATAGCGTCTCGATCCACGCCTGGCAAATACGTCTGGATATCATCGATAGCCTGCTTCATGTTTTTGGTGTTGGGGGAGTAGTCTGTCGGGGAATCTGTCCATTCGACATCTGGTCCGAAGCGGATTCGCCCCGCCATGTCGAGCGTGAGATGCGTTCCCAATCCGCCGTGGCCTGGTACGGGAGCCGGGTAGACGAGCGTGGAGGGTTTAGGCCGCGAGACAGCGTAGCTGAAATAAGACCCTTTTGCGTAAAAGGCTTTCCTGTGCCGTTCTTTAGGCAAAATCATATTCTGGATATCGACGGCGAAGAGACCCGCGGAGTTTACCAACGTGTCGGCTGTTATACTGCTTTCCTCACCATCCGCTCCCGTCGTCGTGATTTCCCATCCCGAGCGTCCGGAATCGATGGGGCGGATGTGTGTAACTGTGGATTTGAAGGCGCAGATGCCGCCGCCGTTTTCGAAGGAGCCTTGCAGGTATTGCATCAGGCTGTGCGAATCTACGATGCCGGTGCTGGGGCTTTCCAAGACGCCGGCTTCAGCCCGCACATCTGGTTCGCGGCGGTGGGCTTCTTGTTTGCTGAGGAAATGGATGGGCACGTTTATGCTTTTGGCGAAGTCGTGGACTTTTTGGAGGGCGTCCATTTGTGCGGCGTCTTGGGCGACGATCCATTTTCCGGTGTTGCGGTAAGGGATGTTGTGTTGTTTGCATAGTGAGTATAGCATGTCTTTTCCTCGGAGGCAGAGTTTGGTTTTGAGGGATGTGGGTCCGTAGTAGAGGCCTGCGTGTATGACTTCGCTGTTTCGTGAACTTGTTTCTGTGCCGACGTGGCCGTGTTTTTCTATTAGGACTGTGGAGGCCGAGTCGCGTTGTTGGAGTTTGCGGGCTATGGCTAGGCCTATTACGCCGCCGCCTATGACGGCGTGCGTGAAGTCCGCATGTCTTGGTATACTTGAGGAGAAATGTCTTGGGTTTGATGTGATTGATTTGGCTTGGGGGGTTGTTCGAGAGAAAATGCGCAATGAGGCCATGATGGAAATTGGAGAATTGACGTCTAAAATCAGCGCAACGTGCTACAGAACAGAGATGGACGAGTAAACAGGACGAATTAGAACCTGATCACAGCGGAAGATAGACTCGGGGTTAACGACAGTCTTGACAAGTGATGCTTATCGGTGGCTTGGATCCATTTTGGATGACGTTACGTGAAATGCCGTTCCTGACGCTAGACAGAGTGGGGTCTCTCAATTGTTACTTGAACTGGCATCAGAAGGCATAGCGATTTCATACAGCATCTCAAACTAAAATTTAGGTTACTTCATTCGAAACGTACAATTTCTTGTGCGGTCGTGGTTTCTTCTCCAACAGACATCTCGTGGTACCTCATTTCCTCCACCTAGATAACGTCATCGGCACCCCAACGTCCAAATCCCCGACATCGCAACCAGGCCAATGTTCACAACCCTCACAAGACGAACAATATCACGCCCCCCAACCACCCTCATTCCCAAAAGAGCATTCCACAACACACCTTCCAACCCCGCCTCACCGCTCGTCGACCGCGTAAACGCCGTCACAATGGCCTCCTCAACCGGCACCCCCAAAGTGACTTCTCTCGTCGACCTCTCCTCCTCAGAAGCCAAATGGGTAAAACTACAAAAAGCCACCTACATCGACGCCAAAGGCAAAGAACGCATCTGGGAAATCGCCTCGAGGAAAACAACCGGCACCGCCGGCGTCGACGCCGTCGCAATGGGCAACATAATCTACCACCCCACCAAGCCCCCCTCCACAATCGTCGTAATCCAATTCCGGCCCCCAGTCAACAGCTTCACAGTAGAATGGCCCGCTGGTCTAATCGACGCCTCCGAAACCCCGCAGGAAGCCGCCGTCCGCGAACTCTACGAGGAAACAGGCTACACAGGAAAAGTCATCTCCACTTCACCACCCGTAGCAGCGGATCCGGGGATGACGAGTGCGAATCTGTGTTTGTGCATGGTGGAAATCCATTTGAAGGAGGGGGACCCGGAGCCGGAGCAGCATCTTGATGAGGGGGAGGATATTCAGAGGGTGAATATTCCGATTAGCGAGTTGTATGGCAGGTTGGAGGAGTTTGCGAAGGAGGGGTATGTTATTGCGGCGAAGTTGTATCATTGGGCGGCGGGCGCGCAGTATGCGATTGATCATCCGGAGTTGTTTGCCAAGGCGCATAAGAAGGAGGAGTGAGATGGCGCGTGGGGAGAAGGGAGGATGGAGATTGACTTCTATGTAGTTGATGTCAGAGGATAGTGCGGATGGTTGCATGGCCTTTTGGTAGGAGTCAATATCATGGCATGACTGGTTTGTTGCGTCTTGAGGAACTAGATGTTGCCGCGTCATGATGGCACTTTACAGTATTCAAAGAGCTTCAACATCATGTTCCAAAATCTCATTGCTGATTACCCAGCTCTAACAATACCCAAATATCTATATACACCCTCACTCCCCCCATCTCCCACCAACCACCCTACCCCGCCTTCTCATCATCAATCTGCCTCCTCAACTCCTCCAACACCCCCTTCCTACTCTCCAAATGCCCCTGCAACCCCTCAACCTGTTCCCTCACCGTCTCAATCTCCTCTCTAATGCCGCCCAGCCCCTTCACCGCACCCCCCTCATCATTATCCAACTCCTTGAGCACATTCCTCTTATAATCAAGCAGAAGCTCCAGTTCACGCTTCACAAGCGCCGGCTTACTATCCTTACTGCGTCCATGCCGCCGATTCTCCGCTTCCTTCTCCACATCCGCAATCTTCTGCTCCAGCTCGCGCAGCTGCTTTTTCAAGCGCACTTCCTCCCAGTCTTCTGTTGTGCGGCCCCCGAAATCTGTGCCTTTGCCGCCGCGCGCGCCATAGTTGGCTGCGCGGTCGCCGACGCCCAGGCGCGTGAGGTATGCGTCGCCGAATTTGGCTTTGCGGCCTGTAGCGGTGTTTTCATCACGTGTCGCGGCCCAGCGCGAGTTTGCGTTTGACTCGATGTCGTAGTCTATGTGCGCTTTTTCGAAACTGGCGCGCAGGCTCGGGGGCACGCTGCGGGGGACGCGGAAGCCTTCGCTGCGTTGGTTGAGGATGTGGAGGAAGGCGAGGGCGGCGTCTTTGCCGACGCTTTCTCGCGCTTTGGGGTTGACGAGGTTCCAGGCGAAGCGCACGTCTGAGTCGGGCACGTTGTCTAGGCTGTCGAAGAGGCCGGACAGACTGTCGAAGGTTATGTTGCCGTGGCCGTCGCGGTTGGCTGTGTAGATTTCTTCGTATTTCGCCTTGTCCGACGGCGACATGTACCAGTCGAAGCCGTCGCGCAGACCGGGCGTGTCGTCGTCGTCTTCGACGGTTTCGTAGGCGGGTTGCGAGCCGGAGAGGGCGCGGCCGGCTTGGACGAGGTGGGCTTTCGATTCGGGGACGAGCCAGTCGGGCAGCGCTTTTGGTACGTCCATAGATATCTATGGCATGTTGGTCAATGCTGTTTCTCCTTCATCGCCCATGCAGACACACATACCCCGTTGATCAGGTCAAAGATCAGGCGCATGGCGACACAGAACTCCTCAAAGTCGAGCTTGCCGTCATTGTCCACATCGGCCAGATCCCACACTCTCTCCAGCTGGTCATCGCGCAAATGTGAGTTCTTGAGCACAGGTGCGGCTTGCGCGCCGTCGAGGTGGGTGCCGCCGCCGCTGAGCGAACTGAATATCTCCCAGTACTTTTCGATTTCGTCTTGCTCGATGCGGTTCGGCGCCATATTTGCAGTCGGAATTGGGTCGAGTCTATGGGTTCGGAGATGCGAAGAAGGGGTCAATTGTGTACGCCGTGTGAGATTCGGGGGTGCTGGTTGGGGAATGTCGGGATGGCGGAGCTCTGGCCGCGCCTGCTGGGCTGGGGTACGTAGCTACCTGACGCTAGTCGTCCACCGCCTGCGACTCCCATGCCTCACATGAATGCATTCTTCGCTGAGCTACATGTTAATAACCCAATTCCTTCAAGATCACTGCAGGCAAAAGAACAAGCTTCATGTTATGATCTTCAATTCAGCTAAATATATGCAACAACTCCGTATTACCACCACTTCAAAAGAGCGATGTAAGTACAACCCAGATTCCCAGAACACCCGAGTTTTCCCATTTAATCGTGCGCCAGATGCAAAAGAATACATGTTTTCTTCCAAAGGAAAGACGAAAATGGCGTTACTGCCGTGCAGACATGTACAAACAACATCGCTAAATGCAATCAATTCTCAATCTTCTTCTCCTTCTTACATCATGTTGGCAAGCTCGTGGTCGATGGCTTGCGTGAGGAAGATCTTCCTCTCGCCAGTGAGCTGCATCTGCAGTCTTTGCTCCGCAAGTGCGATGATTTGCTTGCGCGTGACCTTGTCCAGGTCCGCGTCCTTGAGGCAGGCTTGAACCGTCTCGATGATTTGGCCATCGGTTGGGCCGTTCATCATGCTCTGGAAGTTGGTTGTGCTGCCAGGCCGTGACATGCTGGCGCCATAGCTGAGAGGGCTGCGTCCACGGATCGGTGGTGTGGACGAGGCCATCAGGTTATCTGAGCTCTGGAAGCCACCCATGCTCTGGCGTTGACCGTACGGTGAAGTGTTGTTGCCATTGTACATGTCACTCATGTTGCTCATCGACATGACGCGACTTTGGTGTGGGTTGTCTTGGTACCGCGACATGTTCGAGTATGTCGATTGACGGGTTTGCATACCTTGGTATGGCCCAGGCGATTGCGGCGGCATGTGCGAAATGTGCTGCATGTTGGACATGACGGTCGAGGCAGGCTTGACAGACGAGTAGACGGATTGCATGTCGTTCATCTCGTATGCTTCGTCTTCGTACGCATTGAAGCCACCCTTCTCAGTGGCCATGCCTGGGAGACCGCGACGACCGGGAAGCTCATTGCGCTCGGCGTACTCGTCCCAGCGCATCATAGGAATCGACTTGGGGTCAAAGCCCTCATCATCTGTGGTGAGAACCTGCTTCGTGCCTTGCTCGCCGATGACGACACGCGTGTTACCCCACGAGAAGTCGTCCATGTACCAGAAAGAATACATCGGAAGTGCGAGTGAGTAGATGGGGAAGGCCAGGAGGTAGATGATCATCCATCCCACATGCTGCCATTGTCGCTTGATGATGAAGATGAACGCCTGAAGACCGTACACTGCCGCCAACATGATGATGGAGAACATGGGGAATTGACCTTTGCCAGTCGAGACGGTGTAGACGAGGTATACCAGGTATGCGCAGATGGATGGCAGGACGAGAGTACCGAAGAGATCGATGAAAACGACGAATCGCATCGAGAAACAACAGAAACCACAGAGATCCTTCAGGAAGACGAGTTCAGCCAAGTTGTGGATGGTTGAGTTGATCCATCGACGTCTCTGAGAGAGCAGAATGCTCCACGTGTCGGGGGCGGCTGTGAGAGCGTACGCATCGGGAATGAACTTGTACGACATGGCTGGGAAATGCTTCGTCATCAGAGTCGTCAGGTAACGATCCTCACCGAGCGAGAGGAGATTCTTCTTGTGCAGAGTGTCAACAACACAGTCGGCGTAGTCCTTGATAATCTTGTCCGAGATGATGAGAGGCTTGCCCTTGTCGGCTGTGCGTAGG